TTTAAAACTGTTGGGATATTTTAATTTTCATTTTAAAAAAGGTTTATTTTAAATTAGATGCTTTTGTCTGTGTGGGTTATGTGCATGTGACTGCAGGTGCCAGCAAAGGTCAGAAGAGGGTGTTGGATCACCTGGAGTTGAGCTTACAGGTGGTTATGAGCTGCTTGATATGGGTGTTGGGAATGGAACTTAGGTCCTCTGCAAGGGTAGAGCCATCTCTTCAGCTCCCTAATTTACATTTCTATTTTTCCTGGTAGTCATTCCTGCTTGTTACTCCAGTTAATCTTTTAAATTGGAAAAAATGTTTACAAATTGCCTATATTTCATACTTCTGAAATATTAAATTCTGAAGTGTTAACTGTCATTTTAGTTAGGTATTGACCACATTCGTCATAAAAGACTAATACTTAACTTTTTTATGTTTTTTTTTTTTTTTTCTTATGGTGGGAGTGGAATGTAGGGTCTTGTACATGCTAGCCAAGTGTTCTACTAATATACTCCCAGCCCAGTACTTTGCATTTTAAGAAAGTTTAGTTATATATCTGTCTTCAAGTTTAGAAGTTTAGAAGTAAGAGGATATTAGGCTTAGTAGTACTGAGCACTCGACTATCATGCACTAGGCCCTGGATTTCATCCCCAACACCACAATAAACCAATGAAATACAGAAGAAATAAAGGGGAGGGTATTGGTAATGTTACTCTTTTGTGATAACTGATTTTCAAATAATAAAAATAACGCAGATATCAAGCCAAATTACATTGAATGTAGACAATGATACGTTTTCAGAGGACATTTCAGTTTTCTGAATAGCTTTGAGCTTTGGGTGGGGGTAGGTCAGGGAGATAAAGCCTAATTTACTTTTCTGTGCTTTTAATGCTTAATGATTAACTTTATTTTCCTTCTCAGTGTGTTTTTTCTTTCTAGTAGACAGTAAAGATTATAGATATATAGATATGTTTGTATGTGAGCTATACAGGATTTAATAGTGATTTTCCTGGAGAGAGTTACTCATCCTCATTAGAAGATATTCTATTGTTTTTACAGGCTTTTTGTTTATAAACTTAAAAAAAATTTTGCCTCTCTAATACTTAGTGTATGGATTGAATATTGTTTTCAGTTTAAAAATGTCTATTTGCTCTATAAATGGATAAAAGGCAACATTTATTGCTACATTATTTAATAGCTACATTTATTTAAATGTATATAACATTCATTCAAACTTTTGGCTATCACGATATTGATATTAGCATGATATGCTAATATTTCCCCACAAGATGAATTACAGGAGGAAGCATAATAATTTTAAGTGATTTTTACATGATGAAAAATCATATAGGTAATAAAAATCTAGGAAACTATAGATAAGATGGAACAAACTAGAAAATTTTTGCATGGAGCAGCTATAGGCTTATTATGTATCTAATTTTTCCTCTGTGTTGGTAGTGAAACCTAGAGCCTTGAGCATGCTAGGTAAGCACTCTACCACTAAGCTACATCCTAATTCCTAGACTGTATTATTAACATTTATTTTACGTTCTAGGCATTTTCCCCCTGTAGTTGATGTACAAGCATACTTTAAATAGGGATGATTTTACTTATATGCATGCAAAGTTTAAGTTGTCATGAAGAATATGAACATGTACTCCCTCTTTTAAAATGGGGGGGGTCACTATGTTGTCTGAACTGATCATGAACTTCTGGACTTGAGATATCTTCATCTAAGTAGCTGAGACAGGAGGCGTGTATCACTATACCAGTTTAAAAGTAATCCTTTAGCAGGAAATATTTTTGGCAAGTAGTACTTTCACTAAACTTTCTTTACTGAATTTTCTTCTAACTCTGAACAACCAATTAATGTATCTTCTATATTAACACCAACCCTTTTATTTAAAAAATTTACTCACACCATTATTAGGGCTTATGCATGCGCATACACTTGAGGGTGAGGTGTGGGGTGGGTGGGGGCCTTTGTGGAGATAGGAGGACAGCTTGTCTCCTTCCATAATGAGTTCTTAATATCTAGTCAGGTTGATGTTAGCATTTGACTATATCTGATAACAATGATCCAAATCAAAGAAATTCATGAAGTTTCTGTATGAAATGGTAACACAAACTACCTGGAAAGTTTCTTCTGCCTTTTTTTTTTTTTTTTTTCTTCTCATTTTCAGTCTTCTTTGATTTACCTCTGTCAGCATCATATTTCATTACAGACATTGATTTAGTAGGTTCATGGTGGATTTGTGGGGAAATTACAATTTTCAATATAGTCTTAAGTGGACGGGTAAACTTTAATTTCACCTATTCAGTTTTTATCAGATATTGATGTTTTCTGGATGATCAGAGTTGTATATAATATTAATTTTAGGGTGTTCCTTTGTTTTACAAGAAATGGAAGGTAGCAGTGTGGCATTAAGTGGTGTAGCATTAATCATGGTAGTGGTGTGGCATTAAGGACAGTAAGGAAGTATAAGATGTTGGCATGTTGTTTTTTGTTTTTGCTTAAATCATTAAAGAAGTTCTTTAAAAGTTTAGTTTTATTTTATGTGTATGAGTTTTTGCCTGCATGTATGTAAGTACATCAGTGTCATGCAGTACCTGCAGAGGCCAGAAAAGAGCATTGGATCTCCTGGAAGTGGAGTTATAGACAGTTGTTAGCTGCCATATGGGTGCTGGTAACCAAAGTTGAGTCCTTTGTGAGAGCAGCCAGTGGTCTTAACTGCTGAGCCATCTTTCCAACCTGAAAGATTTCTTTGTTTATATTTTGAATGCTTTTCACCAAGAAAGCATTTTTTGCTTATAAGCCTAATGTTAATAGGTTACAAGAAATTGCCAGGGAGGAGTAGACGTTTCTAAATATCTACAAAGCGTTCAAGAAAGCAGACAACCAGGGAAGCTTGCGCAGTGAGTAAAGGTGCCTGCTGCCAAATCTGATGACCTGAGTTAAATCCCTGGGGCCTACATGGTGAAGGACAGGCCAGAATCCCACAAATTGTTCTCTAATGTAAACACACCCACACCCACATACAAACACAGACAAATAAAAATGTAATAAACAAACTAAAAACTTTTAAACGAAAGCTTTATTTACGATTACAATGCTGTTATTAGCTTTATTTTTCCCCTGATTTTTCTTGAGCCAGGGTTTCCTTGTAGCCCCAGCTGAGCTGGTATTCGCTATGTAGACCAAGCTGGCCTCAAATCTCAGAGATCTGCTTGCCTCTGCCTCTGCCTCCTGAGTGTGCACCACCATGCCTGGCCCTGTTAGTAGTTTTTGAAAAACATTTTATTTAATATTAAATTAGAACTTGTCATACTGTAACCAATAACTATGAATTTCTCTGATATTAGAGAACATGTAATAAATTGTGTTTTTGTACTTGACCCATTTGTCAGATAAGCGTTATATATTACTTAAAGAGAATCTTGAAATTTCATGTCTTTAAATAATAGTCATTTCTGAGACTTGTAGAATTCAGACCCTTTTAATTATAAGGGAAGCAGAATGGTTATAGTTTTTCAGTGCTTGTGATTTGGTACATAGGCACATTTAGTTAAAAAAGGGTATAATAGGAACTGAAGGCAATTCTTTTGTAAATCTTAAGCTTTTCAGAATTCTTTTGTAAAACTTAAGCTTTTTAATAGGATAGCCTGTGTTCACCTTTCCAGGGATAGAGTCTCCAAACTTGACAGGCAAATTTTGTTGAGATAGTAAACTTTAGGAAATACATTTTGAAACTATATCAAAGGCTTTATATTTTGAGGTTCTGTAATATAAGAAAAAAAGGCTAAGTAAGCATCCTAGGAAATTCTTAGGAACATGGGAAAAGTTTTTGTTTTTGTTTTTTAAATGATAACGGGAGCCATTTGAGTTCCTTTCTTTGTGTGCCCCAAACCTGAGAGCATGTTTAGAAATTTGAGAAATCACTTGGGGGAGGGGGACCAGTAACGACTGACTCCTAGATTTATTGCAACAGCAACATTATGGAGTATTTATCTATTGGCAAGGAAATCTTGACATTATTGGAAAGACTGAAAGAATTAGAACTTTAACTGAGTAGGGAGAAAACAAATAATTGTATCTATTATGTGCCAAACACTGCAAGAAATTTTCCTTTTTAAACTGTTTTTTGTATGTGTGTGTGTGTGTGAGGCTACACATGTGCATGTGTGAAAGTCAGAACGGTCTTACCTTTACATGGGTTCTAGGAATCTGAACTCAGGTTGTCAAGTTTATATTGTAAGTGCTTTTATTTACTGAGCCATTTCAGAGCCCAGTTCTTATTTTAATTTTTTTGGTCAGGTCTTTGAAAGTTATTAAATCTGAGATTCAGAAGGGATAAGTTCCTCAGGAGTTGTAGCATATGATAACTGTAATTCGTCATCAAACCCTCTTCTGTCATTTGTTTCTCTTTGTAGTCTCCTGGAGTTCAGAGGAGTTTACAGCCTTAAAATAATACTTTTTTTTCCTCCCTGAGAAAGGAAATGTGAAAGTGAGTGTATATTAATATATTGGGAGTGTAAGAGAGTAGGAATAGAGTTGGTGTGTTTAAAGTATACAACAAGAAGACAGTTGAAAGGTACTTCACATCTGGTAGAGATTTTGGCAGTAGTAAGCCATTCAGTATAAATGGTACCTAGTCTTAACCACTCTAGAGGTTGTTTGAATTCTTACATAATCCAATTATGTTCTCCATTCTTGTAGGAAAGATGAATATTGTTTTGATTTGAGAGCAGGTGGTTTATACTAACAAGTACTACAGTAATATTTAGATTTACAATTTCTGAATAGTTATCAAAAGGCTCCTGGATTACTTGATTTGGCAAGTATTATTAACCATTTTATAGATGAGAAAAGTATTCGTACCATAACCAGTGGTACTTTAATAAAAACTTAAGGAAGCTATTCCTTTAAGAGAATGATGTCCTGAATGTATTTGAGATAGAAGGGGAGTATATTGATTTTACCTTTGTCTTAAATATTTGTGTTTTTTATTTTTAGGCTGTTCGCTGCTATGAATCTGTAATCTTAAAAGCTGAAGGAAAAGTGGAATCTGATTTCTTTTGTCAATTAGGCCACTTCAACCTCTTATTGGAAGATTATCCAAAAGGTAATTTTTTTTCCTATTGATTTCTATTTGATTCATGTATACATTGAAAGTAATTATAATTATACTCTATGAACGGTACTACCACTTTTACTGTTAAGAAGTTAATAAGCTCATGAGTTATAGTAAACAATAAGAAAAGTAGAGCAGATAGAACCAGAAAAATGTTATGTGGCTCTATGTAAATCATTAATAAAAACTCCAGTAAAACTGATAACCCTACACCTACAAAATCTACATTGCTATGTGGTTTTGTTCTGTCCTATGATAATCCCTGCCCTTTAAATGCTCTATCATAGGGCTCTGAAATTTAGCACAGAGGCAGAGTGTTTGTCTAGCAATTGCAAGGCCCTGGCAAGAAGGGTGGGGGAGGGGTGAGAGAATGATCTACTCTAGGATATGTAGGAAAGGTAACATAAATTAGCATTACTTTTTGCCCTTTTTGTAAATCTTGTCCCTTTTACCTAGAAAAATCAGTAAAACTTTAATCTCTAACCATGTTACTGTGAAGGTATGAAACACAGAGAACATGGGGAAACACATGAGCTGGACCTTTGAATAAAGCCAGTTTTTTATTCATTTGAAAATTTTTTCTTTAAGAAATAACCAAGTTAAATAAAAAAAGGAATCTGGTCCTCTGAAATGTGTTTATTTCAAGGCACTAAGTTGCCAAGGCAGACCATTACTCATGTAGGAAGCTTGCTGTACCACTACCTCCTGCTCCTTCATACCAAAGGAAAATTCCATAGCTAAAGAAGGCTGTTCTTGCAAGTGGTAACATTTTAATAGTAATATAATAACATCTTTATATGGTGGATGGATTTGTTTTAGTGAATGTGGGCAGAGTACCTGACAGTTGTCAGGCTAGAGTACAGGATTGTTGGTATTTCATGTTGTGATTGTATTGTGCCAGCTTTGTGTTAGGTCACATAAATATTTTTTAATTAAGTACAATTTTACTCTGAGACTTGTATACACTGAAATTCAAAATGAGGTTTGTTTCCCAGTTAGGCTCTATTATTTGCGGTTGCAGATTATATAAACATTCCTGAGTTTCTGTCTTGTAATATGTTCTGTCTTCTGATAATGAAAGGCAGGAAGGCAATGGCAGATGACAGCTCAGGGATTGAAAGATTGTTGTGATACTGGCAAAACAGTTTTAGTTCAACAGGTTAATAGACATTAATAATTAACACTTAATTTTTCTTTTTGTGCTGTGTGTGTTTGCGTGTGCCATGTCTCACCTGTGGAGGTGAGAGGAAAGTGAGATTCAGTTTTCTCCTACCATGTGGGTCCAGGGGGTTGTCAGGCTTTGGGGGGGGCGCAAGTGCCTTTATCCACTGAACCTTTTCACCGGCCCAACATTTAACTTTTTTGTGTGTGTTGACTCAGCCTCCAACACTTAAATATTGTTAACATCAATTAAAGCTGGTAACTTATTTAAAGGAAACTATTACGCTAAAAGTTTATAGAATTCTGTGAAATCTACTAATTTTTATGCTACACATTTATGTATTAAAAGGGCACATTAATTTGACAACACAAACAGATTTAAACTTTAAAGTTAGGCCCATATCTGGGGCTATCATTTCTTCTTAGTGCTAACTAAACCATATGTCTTAGCTTTCATTTATTTCCTTATTCTTTTAAAATTTTTTGGTTTATTTTTATTTTCTGTGTATGAGTGTTTTGCCTGCATGTATGTAAATGCACTACCACGTGCATGTAATGCTCACAGATGCCATAAGAGGGCATTGGAGCCCCTGAAACTAGAGTTACAGACTGTTGTTATCTGCCATGTGGGTGCTGGGTTCTGAGTCTGGGTCCTCTGCAAGAGTAGCCAGTGCTCTTAACTGCCGAACTGTCTCTCCAAACACTATTTACTTATTTTTAAATGTCTTAAAATTTTTATTTGTGTGTGTGTGTGTGTGTGTGTGTGTGTTTGTGCGCGTGTGCGTGCATGCATGCGTGTGTGCGTGTGTGCCATGACCTGTGTGTGGAAGTCAAAGGACAACTTGTAGGAGTTAGCTTTTGGTTTTGTTATTATTATTTTTTTAACCACGTGGATTCTGCGGATTGATCTCAGGCCATCAGGTTTGTTGGCAAGTACCTTTATCTGCTGAGCCATCTCACCAGTCCATAACTTTTAAAACTTAATTATTAGTCAGTGAATTTAACTACATTTTTAACTTATTATGTTTAGTTGGTTGGGCATGGTGGCTCTTGCTTATAGTCCCAGCGCTTAGAGGCTGAAGCATGAGGATTGCTTTGAGTTTGAGGCCAACCTGGGTTACACAATGACTTCGAGACCAGACTGGGTTACAGAGTGAACTAGTCTCAACAACAAACAAACAAACAAACAAACAAAATCCCAGGAAGCTGGAGAGATGACTCAGTGTTGAGGACCAAGGTTTGGTTCCCAGTAACCCACATGTCAGCTAACTAAGAATCTTCAATAACCCTATTTCCAGGGGATCCGATGGCATCTTCTGGCCTCTGTAGGCATTGCATGACATGGGTGCACTTCCATGCAGGCAAAACACACATACTCATAAAATAATAAATGAATAAATAAAAATAAGGAAACAACAAAGAGGTTGGTTATGAAGATAATGAGGGATCAAGGTGCATTTGGAAATATTTTTTCTGCTTTGGACAATGGAATGGGACATGTGGCATGTGGCAGCTACACTTTGCTGAGGAACTAGCTGGTGGGAATAATCTACTAAGGTAGGAAATAGAAGAGGCTACCTAAGGATTTAAGTCACTGAAAAAAAAAAGTGCTCTAAGGACACATTTACTATTGTATAGATGAGATTAACTGGTAGGTAGGCAGGCAGTAGCTTAATTTTTAATAAGAGAGAATGGATTAAGAGGTGTCCTCTGTATTTCAGTATATTTCAAGATGATAGTTTCCATATTACTGTTTTTGTTTTGTTTTTGTATTTTGAGACTGTCTCCCAGGAGCTCCAGCTGGCCTGGAACTCCCTGTGTAGACTGACGAGGGTGGCCTTGGTCTCACAGAGATTTGCCTGCCTCTGCTTCCCGAGAGCTGGGATTAAAGGTATGCGCTACCATACCTAACTCCAGTTAGTATTTTTTTACTTTTCCTTGAGGGTTTGGGGGGGCCACATTTCCTCTTTAAGTGAATTTGTTTTAAAAATACAAACTAGTGGGTTTTCCCTGGCCATTCTCATTAACATTTTTCTACATGTCTAAAACTAGAACCATGGTTAGATAACATGCCTTTTTCTCCAGCATACCCACCCACACTCAAACCTGTAGCACTAATTTATAGAGGGATTTGTTTCCTCAGGTTCATTCCTTCCTTCTCTGTTTGAAACCTGTGCAAGATAAGAGAATTGCTAACTTAAACCAAAGATATTTTTAGAGAACATGTAAACCGTAATTTTTGTAAGTTAACACAAGCCATACGATAAACATGAGAGTAAAATTCTCTGAGCCTTCATATGCAATGGCGTTACATACAGCCTTGTTATTCTGAAAATAATTATTCAATTATTTATCTGGGTTTGCTATTTTTTTTTGTTGTTATTGTTTAAAATGTCCTAAACTCAGAATTTCCATGAATTTAGTTCCTTTAAGAAACTACCAACAACAAACAACACAAAAACCTGCTTTGTGCCTGCCATAATCAATGGTAGAAGTTATTTTGTGAACATTTTAGGCTGTGTTTTTTCTGTCTGCATTTATTATTCCGATGTCACCTGCTTCCTGTTTCATAGGAATTCCTAAAAATTTTTGGTCTCTGAATGGTATGCTTTGGCTATCATTACTGTTGATTACAAATATCTTTTCTGTCATTTCAGATAGATTTGAAGTAGAAGGAAAAACAGCATTTGTAAAACATTTTCTTACTCTTTTTGATTGGTAATATTTATAGAGTTAAAAAAATAGTTCTGTCATGTGATTTGGTCATTTTGCCTCTGGGAATTTATCCTAAAAAGAGTAAGTGGGTAGAGGTTGAATGCATTTGGCCTACTGCTGTCAGTTTCATTACCATGAGAAGGTAGTGTAGTCTTTATTTAGTAAGGAACATTTGAGTAAGAAATTGCCTTTAGGATCAACACCTATGGAAAGTGAAGGACAGAACCAGTATTGGATTGAGGGAGAGAGAAATGAAGTTGTTAATGCCTTGACCAACTTCATAGGGAAATTGGAGATATAGGGCCTGTTCATAGCTGTCCTAAGTTGAAACACAATGGCTAGACTTTTATACTCCACTGACTTGTTGTCTTTATATAAAGTTTTCTTTTGAATGTGAGCCATACTGAGGAGTGTGACCTTGGGTAAGTGTCTCTGCAGCTGAGGCAGTTACTGTAAAAGTTCATAGCTAAAGGGTATCCCATCAGGCGGCATGGCTCCCAACAGTTCTTCCTAGAAGTAGGATTTGCATGGTTTGTAGAGGGTCTGCTTTGTCTCCTTTCTATGCTGAATGCTAAAACAAGCTCTTTTAACCTCTGCTGAACCAAACAGCTCATATGACTGTCAGATAGTCTGTCTAGGAGCATTGGCTATAAGTGCAATTTCTCTTTAGGTTAGAGGACAAGCTGAGAGATACTGAACCCTGGTCTGAAGAACAAGCATATGTATTCAAATTAATACATATGATGGTTCTTGGACCCAGTCTAATTGATAAAAAATAAATGTACACATATATGAATATGTGTAGCAAATTATAGGAGAGCCACTGGATTAATTGCTTAGAAGATCGTGTAGCACATTATCTCAGTACACAATAAAATTACTAAAACAGTGGAAATTATGAGGTAAGAGATTTGAGATTATTGAGGTACTAGAAAGCTTTTGCAATGTGTTGGTAATTAAAAACTGCAGCAGGGAAAACTCTTAAGAGACAGGTATAGGGGAGGTGAGGAGTCTCCCCATCCTGCCCCCTGTGGTTGCCCACGATGGAAGTCTTTTTTTTTCCAAAGCTTTCCCATTCCTGTAACCTTTGCAGCCATATGTTACCTTGCTTAATTATCACATGTACCTTTTACTTAATTGTCACCTATGTGCTGTTTTGCCTTTTGTTTGCATTTCCTCACACATGAGTATAAAAGTCCCCTAAAACTTGAACAAGGGGTCTGACTCTTTATTCATGGGGTCAGTCACACTAGCATAAAATTACTAAACTTCCTTTCCTCACCTGACTATGGCTATTGGTCTCTGATTTTTCCGTAGCAAGATAATAAGAATTTCAGAAGAGAAAAATATAGTTGGAGGAGTATAATCATCATTCCTGATGTTAGTATGAAAATACTAAAACTCTTAAAAAATAATTTCTTCACATTTCATGGTGAGTTGGAAGTTGTCCCAGTAAGTCCTGAAATCTCTAGCCAAGGGTAGATTTTTCTCATTTTCCTTCTTCAAGTAATTGAAATTCCCTCAGTCTGTGTCACATTGTGGTAAAATAGTTTTGGAATAGAAGTTAGAAATGGCTAGGGTTGGTACTTTGGAGAAATGTCAAGTAAGAGTTTGGTGTGAGTTTTCTTTGTGTCTTTCTTTGATTGAATGACAGTACTCCATCCTGGGGTATTTATAGTATAAGAACACAAAGAAAATGGACATTTTCTAATAATAGATACTGAGTTTAGCTAGTATTCTGAAATACTCAGAATTTCTGAGTTTAGCTAGCCATTCTGAAATAGAATTTGAAACATTGTAAGGATAGTGAAATAAATGATTTCTGTTATATTCCACTCAGGACTTTAGAAATAATGAGTTACAGTGAACTAGGAATTTTTTTTCATACACAAAAATTAGAAATTAGGACTACTAGCCAGGCCTGGTGGCACACGCCTTTAATCCCAGCAATAGGGAGGCAGAGGCAAGTGGAGCTCTGTGAGTTCAAGGTCAGCCTGGTCTACATAGTGAGTTCCAGGTCAGCTGGGGCTACAGGGAAACCCTGTCTCAAAAAGACCAAAAGAAGGGGACTACTTAGATTATAGCCATTTTGCTAGAGAGACTCGGGTAATAGGTACTTGTAAAGTCTTTATAGGATTTTACTGATTTATCTAGATTAGGATCCATAAAATATTAGGATCTTAAAATAAGATGCCAAGCCTAATGGGAGTAAAGTGTAATTACTGAAAAAATGTTTGAGTGGAAAAATAGATAAATTTGTTCCTGCAATTTAAAGTATGAGTTCTGTGACTTTGAATCTGAGGAATTGTATTTATTTAATTTACCATGTTGTAGAGATGTCATGTTTCTCCCACTTGATAATCACAGTGGGTTTTTTAATTTTTAATTTTTTTTTAGTGCTCACTAATATATATCTTTTTATTTAATAACCAGTGATTAGAACAAGCATTTCATTACAGCTTTAACATATTCAGTAACAATTTCCAGAGCAAGGATACATCTCTTTCAAAAGTGGCTGTAAATTTTTAGGTTCACAGTTG